CCCCCCAACAACCAAAAGAAGAAACTGAGAGTCTGTTTCAGATTTCGAGTTTATCTTCGACAATTTTTTTTTATATTTGAAGGTAGATATCTGTGAACCATGACACTTACGGGACCAGTTTAGTCTAAGTGAAATACTTAAGGGACACTTGGTCAAATCCAAAAGAAGAAAAACTGTCTTCCTTCATTCAAATTCATCAATTAATTGCTTTCTTGTTTCTTTGAGAAGATCTTGTTAACAAGCACTGTTTGAATCAATTCAACTACAACTTCTACTACTAAGAGCTCCATCATCGACACGAGTTGGAACAGCAAGATTCTCTTTATATTCTAGATCAACATAGCTTTCTAGATACTCAGGAACGGAACTACTTAACTACCCAATTAATAGTTGAATACAGCTACCAAACACAGTTGTAAACACAAAGAAATTCATTCATCTTCAAACAGTCATAGCTCATAATCATGCCAAGAGTGATTTTTTCCTATTAAAACAACAAATTCATTCCAAAACCATATCTCATCAGCTGAAACAAGAATGAACCAGATCAAATCCCCACTAAACAGGTAAAGCTTACCCAACCCTTCAACTAATTATTTCAAGATTACTCTTTAAGATTAACAAAGTCAGACAGCATATAAAAACCAATATTTGAATCTTCAACTTAGTTTATCTGCATATGGAAGAGAAAAGCTGAAGCCTAAACATTGAAAAGAAGAGGAAAAACCCTCATAATCATGTAAGAGTGATTTTCACGCCATTCAATCAATCAATCAACTACACTTTAATCTCAAACGCGTTGGGGATTTTCTTCCCATTATAACAACAAATTCATTCCAAATCCAAATCGAAATTCCTACTGACCATGCAAATTTCTTCAACCCCTTCACAGAACAAATTCAAAATTATGATTTAAAATTTACTAATTTGAAAAGAATAGGAAAATTAAAAGTACCTGAGACATGATGATGAGAAGAAACTTGAGAGGTTTTTGAAGAAAAAAAATGGTTTGATACAAAAAGTCAAGAGAGAAAATTTGGACCTTTCAATGGTGTGATATGAGAGGTGTCAAAGGCCTGCTATTTATACAAAAGGAAAAAAATAGTTTCTTTCTTATTTTCTTTCTATTTTGAAAAACAATTATATAAGGAAACCGTTAATTTGGGATTTGATTTAGTTAGTTGACCCACCGGCTAACATAATTGCTTATTTGGCTAAATTTCTAAAATCTGGTAAATTTAGCAAGTGTTTTTTTTTTTTGTTGTCAAAATTGATTTTAGAAAGGTATTTTAAGAGAATAACAGTTTGTGTTTAATTTAATCATTAGAGAAATGTTATGTTAGTATCAAAGAAATAATTTTGTGTTCGGTTAATCTTTTTAACGAGAAGTTAAAAAATTTAACTTTATTACTTAGAATCACTTACTTAATTTTTTAAAATACTTGGTCGAACACTTTTTAGAAATAATATCAAGCTTTAATATATACACCTATACATTTAAATTAAGAGTATTATATATACTTACAATGTTCAATGGACATATGATTTCTATTGAGATGAGTGATATTCTTTCACAAAAGTCTTGAATTTAAATCTGAAAAAATAGAGAACGTTCTAATGATTGAGTAGTGTTTTACCTTTGAGTGACCAACTCAGCATGAAACAAAATTAATCGGATAAATTAGCTTTAGAATAAGATGCATATATAAATAAAGAAAAGAAAGAGGTATTCGTTGGACCTAACATTGATTTTCCTCAACAAAACTTAATCAATTTTTATAGCTGTACAAAATCCTTCTTCCTGTTTTTCTTTTTTCTTTTCTATATGGTAGTAGACTAGTAGTAGTACATGCACTTTATAATGTAGTACTATGTCCTTTATGCAGTACAAGCTCGTGAACCGAAAGATAAATAATAAAATATTCTTATTCTCCTCTTTTTCCAAAGGACATGAAAAAATCATTTTTCTTTAAGCCATCCATTTCAGGTATGCTTAATTTCAATCTTGAAAAAATCGATCCCCTAATCTATATCCTTGACAAATCGAGTTAACTACAAGGAATTTCATTGAAGGGTGAACTTGGATGAGTTATCATTCAGGACAGAGTCAAGATTTTAACTTTATAGGTTTTGAATTTTAAAATAATAACTTCAAGTACTAATGATTGAGTTCTAAATTTGATATTTATAATAATGAATTTGATCCAAAATACATTGTTTGAGCAAAAGTTACTGCGTTCAGCTGAACTCATATCTCAACTTATGCCTCCGCCCCTCGTCCTCAAACACCAATGGACTGTGGTGTGCACGAGGATTGTTCAAGCAATGTTGACCTATTGTTAATGATCAATTTGTATAGTATTAAAATTAAATTTGGCATTTTGTGATTCAAAGACTTTAGTTTCTATAACAAATTAATGTTAATTTTGCATTATTTTTCAAATAATGTTGGCATGTGTTGTCGAATGACACCACTTGATTTTAAGTTGATTTCAAAGTCGTATATATGTAACAAATGTGGCTACGGCAGAAGACACATTTGAAGAGTTGGCAAATTACCTTTGGGACCTCGGAAAGATGCCTATATATAGAAGAGAAACATAATCTATTGGGGTTCATACTACGAAGTCCTCTCTTTATTTTCTTAGTTGGTTAGATTAACTCTGGAACCTCTCTCCCTTCTTCCTTTTCTATTTCTTCTTCCCTCGGAAGATTTGGTTACTAATTTGGAGTAATTGTAATAGTTTGAAGATGAACTCTTATATTAATGTACATGATTGCAATTCTCCCTGTCAATACAATTCTCCTTCATTACATTGGTACTTTCATTGTCCCTGGTCTACTAATTGAGTGACTGCCAATGTTGCCCCACTTTCCACCTGCAGTTTTGGAGAAGATCTACTCTTCCATCAAAACCGTACATGATTTTGGGTGTGTTTGGTATGAAGGAAAATATTTTTTAATTTTTTCATGTTTGGTTGGCTTAAATATTTTGGAATAATATTTTCCTCATGAACTAATTTTCCTTCAATTAGAGGGAAATATTTTATCTATCAAGAGAAGGAAAAACATTTTCCAAAACTCTTTTCCAACCTTCCCCCATTCCCCATTCCCCATCCCCACCAACCTTTACCAACCCACCCACCCCAACCCCACCCTAAATAGAAATATTATTAATGTAGTTTCTTTTCATGTTATAGATAAAAAAAAAATTATTTCATTTCAACAAATGAGTATTTTCTTTTCACGATATAAAAAAAAATTATTTTAACAAAAAAGTACTTTCTTTTCAAGATGTAGAAAAAATATTTTCTTTCATTTCAACAAAATGATATAGTAAAAAAGTATTTTCTTTTATTGCAACAAAAAGAATATTTTTTTTTCATGATGTAAAAACAAGTATTTTCTTTCATTTCAACAAAATGAATATTTTCTTTTCATGATGTAGAAAAAATATTTTCTTTCATTTCAACAAAATGAATGCTTTATTTTCATGTTGTAGAAAATAGTACTTTCTTTTTCAACCAAAAAAGAGTATTTGTTTAGTTATGGAGCACAAATTTTAATGTTGTTTTGCGTAAAAAAGTAAAGCAACACATTAGTTCCTTTGGGTTTGTATAAATTTTCAGAAGAATAATTAAATTTTTGAAGAAAATAGAGTCATGAAAATAGAGCAAGGGAACATAAGGACTTGGGGGAAGGGGGTGAGAGAGTATCATAAAAACTTATTTTTCTAAAAAAAACTTTTTTCACTCTTTAGCCAAACATTATAAAATATTCTCCGAAAAAAAATTTTCACTCATCAACCAAACAAGGAAAATAAGTGATAAAACCACTCATTTTCTATGAAAACATTCTCCATGAAAAACATTTTCCTTCGTACCAAACACACCTTAGTGATAGAGTTACAAGAAAGTAACTCACGTATGCTCTCTAATTTTAGCCACATGGGGTAAGTGCTGCAAGAGATGCAATTGGACTCAACAACTTTGGCAGAAACAACCAGTATTTTAAAAGGTATTTTTGGGACTCGTTCGGGGCTCGCCCCTGGGCGGGTCATATGCAAAACGCCCTGGGGTTCATGTATGGGGCTTAGTTATGTGAGGCTTACGTCCTAAGCGCCCGACCGTGCGTCCTAAACACGCCCAACGCTCGGGGCTCGCCTAACAGTTCTAACACAAATCACGTGTCGAATTTCCTAATTAATATCGTTGACGTTCAAAATTCTTTAACAAATTAATGATAAAAGTTCTATTCATCGATAGAAATATGAAGATTGAGCGTAACTCTAATAATAAGACATAGTATTGTGAATTTATATCTTCACTTGTTATTGGTCGTGTCTTAGTTCATTTGTCCCTCCTTGTTATACACTTTTATTAATTTGATATCTTAAACTAATTTGTATTTATTCATGAAGGAGTAATATTTTAATTATTGTACTAATAAGATTTTATTAATTATTTACTTTTAAGAAAGTAAAATGTGGAGTTTGATCATTTCTTTTAAGGAAATTGTAAGTTTTTAATTATTTGAAAGTTAAATATGTTATACGTGATATGTATGCATTAGTTATATTTAAGAATCATGCTAGATATTATTTTTCTATGAGTTCTTTAATTTTCTTTTAATTTTTAACTTTTAATTTATATTTTAAATTTTTTTGTGTTATTATGTTATTTTATTAATTTATAAATTAAAAATTTTAATATATATATATATATATATATATATATATATATATTACATATTTATAGTTTTTTTTAATTTTTATATAATTTTACATGTTTATAAATATTTACTATCATTATATTATTTTATAAAATATTAAAAATTAAATAATTATGGGGCTATACGCCTCATGGCTCTGAGGTATATGTAAAACGTTTCACCTTGCCTTTTAAAACATTGGAAACAGCAATAGAGGAGGCCACCGTGGATGATGAGCCGGACAGTGTTGCGTTAGTTGGTGTCAATGAGAGTGACTTTGATTTAGTCGATGAAACCTCAATAGCTCTGGATCCACAATCTCTTGTTATTAAAGTTGGGGATACATTTCCAGAACTAGAGGGTTTCAAAGTTCTACCTATTGCTCTTGTTATCACATACTCTAAGGGAGAATTTATTCAAGTTGTCGTACTTGGTTTTCAAGAACCTGATTTGGGTATTGTTTCCTTCAACAGTCCTATGGAATTTTTTTACATTTTGAGCGGCCTAGAGTTGCTTACAACCTGTTCGATCAAATTCCTAAATCTAATGGACTGTATAGGTACTGGATGATGCCTAAAAATGTGACTGCCCAACATATGTTACTTCATTTTTCGTTTGATCCTGGTTCAGCAAATGGACTCATATCCGAAGGGGTAACACTGATGTTTGATAATAGTCTTCTATGGAATCTTCGCTATAGAATGTTTGGTGAGATGTTGGCAATTGGGATGGGAGATCAAGCAGGGGCTTTTGCATACCAAGTGTCTGATGGAAATTCTCAAAAAAACAACCATGGGTGTAGTTTCCTGTTTGCAAACAAGGAGTCGATTTTAATTTCTCTTAGTTACCACGATTGTCGAATACCTACTGAGATTGAGTAGAAATGCAGGTTTCCTTCAAAGCATCCTAAACCTTCAATATGGACATCAATTTTCCATGTACCACTGTCATTGTCTTGATACTATAGACAAACACCATCTCTAATGACACTGTCCGGAGCTGTTCAAAGTTGGCTCAAATGTCTTGATAATGAACCAGCAACTGTAGGGGTCTTTGTTTCTGCAGTTGCATCAGCTGTAGAAGATACACAGTCAAACCTTATGGACCAGATGCTTGACGAAATGCCTCCTTACTGCTCCAAGGTGTTCGATCCTAGGCCATCAGCTGCAACTGTCATTCTCGCGGCAATGGTACTTTATTTGACAAATGGACAATTAGAAGAGGACCATTTATTCATTGAATGTCCTCAACTGGTTGAATCTGGAATTCTAGGTTCGGCGATTGCATTTCAAGTGAATTTCACAAAGCAATTTGTTTGTGATGGTGATTGGAGAGGCAAATTTCAGGTTGCCAGATTTACTCAACTTCAGGTGAAGTTATCTCCCTTTGATTTTAGTGAGATTTTTTGCGAGTATTTAGCCTATTATACCCCATTTATTAGATATTATCGCACTACGAATTCATGCATGTAACTGGATAAATAACAGCCAGAGATTAACGATTGTTTTTGTCCATGTGTCCACCCGTCTTGGTCCCTCCTTACGCCCAGTCA